GCGCAGAGGGAGAAGCTCATCGGCGAAGTGCAAAACCGGATCAGTGACATTGGTTCACATCATAAAGACGCTCAGGGAAAACTCGATAATCATGCCTCGTTTGGCAATGAAACGACAGTTAAATCTCACCCAACCCTAGAGAATAATGCACCAAAGAACTCTCGCTCGGCTAAACAAGTCCCAGAAAAACCTTCTATCAGTGAAGTGGAAGTGAAGGACTTTCTGAGCATATTGACGGTGGAGAAGAAAGATCGGTACTTGGAAAAATTGGAGGTTCTAGCCGATAATCTTGTTGGACTGATTAGTTTGGAGGCACCGTGCGCTGGCGCTGGTCGTGATTGCGACGCCAAAGAAGTGAAGGAGATAGTAGCAAAGATCCTTGATCCTGGGTTTCTCGAATCAGCTTCCCCACCGTGCGAGAAGAAGCTCGTCGTCCGAGATTGGAACGAGACTGCTGCTGCACAGCCCATAGTCCATGCCATCATCTATCGATTGCTCGGCATTGTAAATCTTCGTCGCCTTCATGTGTCCAAGGAACAGAAAACAAGAGGCAAAAATGTTACCGAAAAGGACCGAGTCATGGATTTTTTGGTCCATGAAATCCGTGAGCACGTTTTTCACGCCTTTCCAAGCATGATTGAAGGTATAGTTGAAGTGAAGTGGTGTGAACGCAATCCCGAAAAGGATGACGAACAAATTAATCGCGCAGCAAATCAAGTAGTCGGAAACTTTGCGAAGAGGTTGCGAGGGGAGCTCAATTTTCTAGGTATTGGTGTTGATTGCGACCTGTATGGAGTTGCTGTATCTTTGTCCAAGATATCGGCAGTCAAAGCATCGCTGGGTGGTGTGGGAACGAAAGAAGTTAGCGTCTTATTTACCAAGACCAAGCCTATTGAGTTCTTATCTCAAGATGGTCTTCAGCTTCTGGCGTGTGCATTGAGGGCCAGTTTTAATCTGACAGGAGTGAAGTGTGCCGATGCCACACTAGAAGCAAAACTAAAGCTACCTTCGTACGGAGGTGAGGATGAAATGACAAAAATATCGATTGGCCAGCTTTTGGGTTCCGGAGCCTTTGGGATTGTGTACCCAGTTCAGCAAATCAAATCTTCGTGCCATGATAATTCTGAAGATCCGAAGAAGTATTTTATAAAGATTCCAATATCCCACCTGGCATTGAGTTCGCTTGAGGATGAGGCAAAAACCTTGGATAAACTGAACAAAGAGAAGACTGGAAGAAGTAAAGTTCCCAACATTCCACGTTGCGAAGCGAAGTGCACCTTCGATTTTGCTTTGAATGGCTTTCAGGGTAAAACGTATGGCCTTCTTCTCAATGGTATAATTGGTAAGGCTGCCAATACTTTGGATTGGAATGGGACATGCAACAAGCAGCACCTACCCTCTGTCATGGAAAAGGTGTACAACACTCTCGAGGCTGCACACAACCGATGTGTATATCATCTGGATGTACGCCCTGGGAACATTATTGTGTCTGACAAGCATACCTCCCATGGCAAGTCGTCTACCGCTAGGGATGTGGACATATTGGTGATTGATTGGGGTGTGGCACTCAATGGTGATGAAGATTTCTCGTTTCGCGGCTGCGTCCCATACGCTCATGATGAGCTACTCGCGATTGATAGAACACCAGCCAAACCAAAAGAGGTTTATGACTGGGCTTCACTATTGTACACATACTACCACTTGCATGAGGGTGATTTACCATGGAATCTCTTGATGGAGCATGGGAAGCGAGTTTGTGATACCGGGATGAGAAAGAACGTAGTTTCAAAATGGTGGTGGGAGCAAAAGCAGGAAGATGAAAAAGAAAAGCGCTGTTTTGTTGAAGCGTTTGCGAAAGTTCTTCCTGAAGAAAAGATTGCTTAAAAGGTAGTGGCAGAACCAATGTGTCAGTAAAAGCTAAGCTAGATAGGGGCCACCGCAGACCTTGTGGTTTTGATCAAGCAGTGGGAGAAGGATGGATGCGTGGTACTCGTCAGGCTGGACGCTAATGAAAATTTTTATTGTTTCACACCGATCCCTCTTGTCGGATGCGTGATGACTGTCTGACAGATCACCATCATGCTTGTTCGTATCCTGCAACAGTAGCAATGATGTCCATAAATGCCTCATCAATTAGCTACATAGTGCGCATTTGGAGAGCCGGAACCCCCCAACTTTCTTTTAGAAAAGCAATATCCATCAAGCTTTTCCGGCTATGCAGGAACAGAGCCTGCGGCTAAAGGGATATTGCGATACACACAGTAGGCAAGGATAAATGCTCTTATTTCCCCCTTAAAAGAGGTGTCTATTGTACCGACGGCATATGGTTCGTATGATTATTTATTCCCTCTACTCGTAGTAGGCAACCACAATCAACGACTATCTGAAAGGTACAGTAGCTTTTTATGATTTTGGCCTGCAAGTTGGGTGGCGGACTGACTACCACATGTGCATTACGTCAATATGCTGTCAGTACAAGTCAATAAGCACACGTCAAACGTATTGGATTGAAGCAAAAGGAGGCGCAAGCACCTTCGTAATCGTATACCTAACAAAACAAAATAGCAGTCAAGCATGACATATCAGGAACAAGTCCATAGTTCACTGTCAGCTTGCCAATTCATCTTTTGGTAACCGTCAGTAATACTTGGACCCTACAATTGCAAGAAGTTTTGATTGATATTTTGTCGCATACGGCAAATGGTTTCAATACAATGTCTTCCGCAAAACCAGTCTTCCAGTGGCAACTGAAAAGGAAATGGAGACGGCATGTAGTAGACTTGGTTATGTCAATTGAATCGGATAGAGTCCTGTAACGATTGTGCCTTGATTTCTTTCTTTGATCATTCGATTTTATTTTTCGCGACGAAGGCGTACATTCTAGGAAGAGGGCCTCACTGAAGAAGAACAGGAGATGTCATTTGGAGACTTGAATGAATCGCATCCAGACTATCCATTGAGACACCGAAAGAAGGATCGATCAGGCAACATCTTGCCCGACAAAATCTCTACCCCTCAACCCATTGGATCACTCAACTACCAATCCTACCATCAACAAGCTACTGACCATGCGAGAAATGTTGGAGACCTGCCCTCAATTGTGGTCGGAATTGGCGAAGATAAGTCATTCCTAGTGCAGCTGTCTTTCAATCCATGGGAGTGACGAAGGAGTCAACGTGGCCGTCTTGGGAGAGAATTCCGCCAATTGGCTCATGAATGATCACGGAATTAATACATACCGCAGCATTGAACACTAATAAAGTTCCCACCAAATCTCACCAAATATGGAGCCAGCCTTGCCTATTTCAAACAAGATCGGAAAGCCTGCCAATCAGAAAATGCTTGGCGTGTCTTCTCCAGCTTGTGACAAGTCAAACATCGTGAAAACACAAGTCCAGCGATTTTTAGAGGGAAACGTGCTGCAGTTACCCTGTATATGAAAAACATGCATGAGGATATTCGCAGTCGCTAATTCAATGATAGCAGTAGGAAAAAGGAGGGGGGAAAGATAATAGTAATCAATGGTCTAGACTAGAGCTTATTCAGTTTCCTTCATCTATTCGTCAAGTAAATTTGTCTTGATAAATTTGTGTTTTGAATTCACAGTCGTAACTAAATGTCTTGATGTCACCGTCGTAACCCAATAACACGGATGAAGCGGAAGAGAGTTCTCTGCTATCCTTGTTGAATCCAAAGGTTCTGTTTCGAGAAGTGTTCGCAGAGGGCGACCCGATCCATCGTTTCGGTGGACTGGATGATTGGATCTCATCGGAAGGGACACCATCCATGGTATTTCCCGTGGTCTTGCGAAGTGCAGTCTCCGGAGAATCCTAGATCATCACCACCACTACATCCATCGGATTAGAATAACGCATCATCTATTCATTCTCATAGTGTGCATCATGCCATAATGACGCTCATTGGCAGATCTGAAAAACAATGATGGATCACAACAAATGACCAAATGACGAGAACAATTTTAAATTGAACTTTATCAAATACCGCGCGTGACTATTCAGGTCTATATAATATATAGAAAGTAAGCCTGAATCCAAGCTGTTTTGATGAGTACAATATTAGTGTTCAATGCTGCGGTATGTATAATCCGCAGCCGAGAGGCGCTTCGGCGGTGCGAGGAGCCGGTGCTCCCATGGACGAATTGAGGTACATTTACGAGCATAGTGACTCGGTGGGTATTGCTGTTCTGCAAGGACCCCGACTTTTGGATAATATATGTCCCAATATACAACAATTTTGGCTGTTGGTCTTTGATAATACTAGCCGCAATGACTTGTACTATTGCTGATGGACTTGTATTACCTTCGTCGCTTACCACGAGGCAAATATCGTTGTCGTTTGAACCCTCGGTCACTGAAGCTCGAGGCTCGGATAGAGCAGTATTACTGCTGGCAAAGTCTTCCAGAAGGTGGAAGTTGGCGTTGGCTTGACAGCTGCCTTTGGGGCATGGTTGCCCCCCTAACAATAACGAAAACGTTGAATTAACGCGCTGCTTTTATTTTTAAAAAGAAACATTCGAACAGCTGTGAGAACGCGCCGGCCACTCCAGCATTTTTCCGAAATTGCCACAGCTACATGCTATGTACTTGGTACCAGGTACCTGGTACCTTTTTTGCGTGGGGCACGGGCCGCGCAAGGAGTGTCACGTGACACGATAAAGTTAACTAAATTCATAGCCTTGCCGTTTTTAATAAAAATTGCATTCATTTGAGCTGCCGTGCGTGGGAGAAGAACAAAACAAGACAGCCGCTCTTATTCACAAACCAAACCTGTAGAGATACTGCAGCCTCGTTCGATCCACCGAGAATACAGCGTACGCACAAGCTATTCCCGCTCTTGACCCATTGGATTCTGGACATCCTGAGATCACAGCGGCGGCTGTAGTGTCGGGCGATCCACTTTTGTTGCACAATATCATAGCTGCAGCCCAACAGTACGAGACCCGCAAGCTCTTACGTCGTCATCATCCACACCTCATCACTATGGACGAACTTTTCGAAGCAAAACGCCGCAAGCGTAAAGTGGAATCAGCGCATTTGGACGGTCCGACTCCTGCGTGGGCACAGCAGATGCAGACCCAGATGCAGACCCAGATGCAGCAAATGCAGACCCAGATGCAGCAAATGCAGACCCAGATGCAGCAAATGCAGACCCAGATGCAGACTCAGATGCAGCAAATGCAGACACGCATCACGATCGAGTCCCAGAAATCAAGAAATTTTTCCCGTCGTTCCACTGCCGATGCAATTGCTCAAGTGAGTAGAGAGTTGGATGGAAACACTCCTCGGGATTATAATCAATCCATGTGGTTTCCAGCAGATCAGAACCAGCTCTCACAGGCTACTGGCCAGGAACTTCAGGAATTGCTTCTCTTTTATGCACTTCCTCTGGATGCGCGTGTTGCTGACAGACGCAAGCGCTTGGGAAACCACCTTGGAGTAGTCCTGTAAATAAGAAAGATGAAATAGTTGGGAGTAACGGAAAAACGAGGTCAAAGAAATCTGGGGAACCAAGTCACGACAATGAAGAAATCCCTTGCGCACATGCATAGGTGGGGAAAGAAGATGTGATGACAAGATCTTGTACAGGTACTTTGTAGTGAAAGCTAACTGAATTGAAATATGAAGTACAGCTATTTTGCAACTGCTGTACACTATACAGCCAACAGTCTAATAAAATAGTTTCTTTGCATCAGCAGAATCAATAAGAATAACCCATTTTTAGTGGTCTGACCCAATAATCGCAGCGGGCCATCACTAAAAGTAGACTATCTCCATTTGATTAGTACTGTCCTAAGGCATTGAAATGGTGAAAATGGTGATTTGGGGGACAGGAACGGCCAGGAAATAGAAAATTAGCATACAATTCTTGGGAGTAAATATTGATTTTCCCAGCGGTGCCGGTAAGAAGACTACACACGGATCCAGCAGCATCATGCCTTTGCCTTAACAAGCACTGTTGCACTTTGTCCTAACTACCAACCTTGGCATCGGATCATGAGAAAGCGCTGCAGTCCCCATCACCTAGGATCACTTCAAGCTGTGCTGAAGAATGGGTGCGGGGTGTAGGGAGGGACGGAAATTGACTAGCGCTTGTACAAAAAGAGGTGATGGATACTTCCAACGTCAGAAACTATTTTTTCAACCTTGACTAGTATCGTTTAGTCGTCCCTAATAGCACCAGGATGCTCCTCTGAAAGAAATCGAATTCAACTGTCATGGCCTACTGGCACCTTTAGAATCAAGTCATTGTCTCAATTAGGTGGTGCACCATTTGAAAAGTTCTTCGTTCCCGTATCCTTCCGACAGTCGTACCAGTACCGTTTCAGCAGTATGTTTCAAATACTTGGCTCCAACCTTCCTTGGTTGACCTTGTGAATCCAAATTCGGTATTATTGTCAATCTTGATTTGACTTGCACTTGTCCGACAAGGTTTTTATATGATGATGATTGGATGACGACGAGGCTTTTTTGGTGCAAGGAATATCAAGGATCATCTCAAACCATTATTCTCTATCACTAACTGACCAGTCATTTTCAAGAACAGCGACCTTTGCAAAAGGATGATCCGGAGTATGAGCAAGGTCAATATCCATCCAGTCCCATACCAAGACTTCGGTTCGAAAAACTCCTTTGACCAATATCAATTGATGACTTGT